CGTCTGCACGGTGTGAGTCCGTCGCCTCTGCCGAATTCCTCTCTCTTTTGGCACGTTTCTTTCCAGGACTTGTACTTTTCACTACTTTGATCAATTCGCCGACTTGTATGCTTCGTTGCGGGACTGCGTCGAACGCGCACGAATTGATTGACGTGCATGTGTTGACCGATGCACATAAATTGATTAACGCGCATGTGTTGACCGATGCGCGTGAGCTGATTGACGCGCGCGTGTTGACTGATGCGCGTGAGCTGACTGACGCGCTCGTGTTGACCGTGTTGGCCTCTTTGTTTTGATGATGTTTAACAAACAATTTATCACTAATGTTGTTTGTCTAGTGTTTGTGTTTTGTATTTATTCTAGGCAAACAATATGTTAGAGGATGGATGGAATTGCGCATTCACGATCATATCCAATGGAGGTTGGCGGAATTATGGAGTAAAGCCTTTGCAATTCAAGTTCAAGATCCAAGTTCAAGCTTCATTGCAAGTGTACCAAGTCAAGCTTATTGAAGATCAAGATTTCTTGGGTAACATTTAGTTTAGGTGTTATATTATGTGTGTTGGTACTTTAAACTCAATATAATATGCACAGATATTTTATTAGTTTCTTTGTATATATATATAGTTATATATATATGCATAAGTTAAGTTTTGGTTTCTCATACTTATATGCATGTATATGATTTCATTAATTTTAGTTCAATGAAATCATGTTTTAGTGCATTATATGTGTATTTTGATAAAATACTATATTTGTTATTTATAGACTTCATAACAATAGTTTACATCTTTCTTCAAGTCTATAAAATTATTTTGTAATATTTCAAAACATGGTTAAGCTAAAATGTCAAAACTCATGTGTTCATATTTTTATGTTTTGGACTATTTTACAAAATGATGATATTTCTCATTTGGAAGGTCTTTTTTAAAAACCAATTTTTATAGCATGTGCATTATCATGTCTACAATCATCTCCCAAAGTTTTATATTTTTTGAAATTTATTTGATATTTTAAACAGGGTTTTAAAATTAGAAAATTAACTTTCAAACATGTTTTCTCATATGTTAGTTTACGGTCGACCACACCTTTGATTTTCCCTACGGAGCCATCAGCAACTTTCGCGGTCGACCACCACGGTCGACCGTCAGCTCGAAAATTCTCACGGTCGACCGCCACGGTCGACCGTCTAACTTTCTGGAAATTTCTCAAGCTCGAAAGTGGCTCACAGTCGACCGTGAAAATTTCACGGTCGACCGCCGTTCACTCCAACGGTCATTTTGTACAGAATCTGATTTTCGATTCTATTAGTTTTTTGGTCATTTCTGTTGGGCTTTTGGATGAGGTTTTGGGAGGCTATAAATACCCCATTGATCTCAGTTCTCAAAGGAATCCAAGAAGTTTTCTTAAGCAAGAGTTTAACAAGGGTTTAAGTTTATTTAGTGTTTGTTTAAAAGAGTTTTGGTTGTGAAGAAGTTTTACACAAGTGGAGGAGATCATCTACATTCCTTGGGCTTCATTTTAATCCATCTCTCCATCTTGTTTTATCAGAGAAGATTTCTAAACTCAATACTAGCTTTGTATTAATTCTTTATTGTTTATCATTTTCATTAAGCTAGTATTTTCAATTGAGTTTAGTTGATTTGATTTCAATCATTTCTTACACACACCCACTTGACTTATTGTATTTGCATACATTATATATTTGGGTTGGTGAGAGTTGTAACAATTGAGTATGAGCTTTCATTGTGTTCTCATCCATATTAGAGAACAATCATTTATTATAATTGTGCTTATTGTAAGAATTACTTTATAATACACTTGTACACCGAGAGAAGTGTGTGGTGAGGACCGGAGATCGTCCCAATAGGAGTGGCGTCGGTTGACAAACCTAGGTAGAGGTTGTATCTGAGCACTTGAGGGAGACACGTCTAGTTCCAACACTTGAGAGGGTGTGAGGTGTAAACGTTGTTCGGATAAGCGTAGAAAACCCGGTTGTGATAGTGGATTTCTCCCCAGGAGTGGGCAACGGAGACGTAGGACGGAAGGTCCAAACTCCGTGATCATATTGTGTGTTTGCATTGCTCATTTACACTATCACTCTTATCTTGTTTATGTTTATTTCACCTTTGTGTTAATTTGTATATCCTTGCATATATCTCATAGTATATCTCATTGCTAGGATATATCTCTTTGTTCATATTGCTTACCCTAGCTCATATATCTTGTTATATTTCATACTTGCTAGGATAACTTATAATTAGTTTTAATTGGTATTTAAATCGGATTAGATTAGTATAAACCCTATTCACCCCCCTCTAAGGTTCTTTCCTAGTGTTATTAGGGTCTAACAATTGGTATCAGAGCTTGGTGCATTTTGATTTAAGGACTAATCACCTTGAGTTAAAGATCCAAGTTATCTTTTTATGCTAATCCATTTTTTGATCTTTGCATTGCTTGCATATATATACATTATGGATATGCACGGTGCACCTTGTTTAGGTTATGCCACTAATGTTGCTCCTCGTTTGGATAATTTTCTCTATGCCCAATGGAGTGTTAGATTCAAACTTTTTGTTTATTCTAAACATTTTGAATTATGGGAAATTATAGATTGTGCTTATATTGTACCCACTTTGAAGAAATCCAAGTGGAGTGAAGATGATCATAGAATGATTACTATGAACAATATTTTGTTAGAATATTTGCTAAATGCTTTTAACTCATCTCTCTCTAACAAGTTTGTTCATTTTGATAGTGCTTACACCTTATGAAAATTTATTGAAGCACATCAAGGGGACTTGGAGGCGATCCGACAAGCTTTGGAGGATCCGGCTTCAAGTTCATATAGAGCATCATGCACACGGCCACTAGGCGATAGCCCTAGTGAGGTTTGCGAGTTCGAAACCACTAATGATTTATCTAGTGATGAATTTGCTTGTGCTAGTGAAAAGTTGTTGCATGCCTATAACATATTGCATAAAATTTTTATTGATTTGCAAAGCAAGCATGAAGATTTAAAATCCGATTATGAG